CAGTTTTCTGTGTTTTACATCTGGAAGTTGATCGGAATCTACAGGAAGAAAATCCGATAACTTCCAACTGGAATACTGCTTCCACTTTCCAGCGCTTTCCTGTGCTTTCCGGCCGTTTCCCGCCGTACGTCCACGACCTGGGATTCATATCAAGAGCTACTGTAGAAGGAAAATTCTGTGTCACAATATTAGCACATCCCATCATATCTTTTGTGTGCTTCTATGATGATCGCATGGTTTGTGATAGCTGCGAACTCTTTTGACATGCCGAACCGTAGGATGCAAACGAAAGGGTGTGGGTGTGGATGAAAAACAGATCCATACTCTAAGTCACACCAACCCACACCCACACCCCATCCAAAGGATGCTGAAAGAAAATTTTTATCTAAAGATAGAACTTTTCCTTCTCTTTCGAATAGCGTATGGTTCATATTTGACACCCTTTATAGTAAGTGAAATGAGACGAGAAAATATTGTGCAATAATTTTATAAATTTTGTTAATCAACAATCAATGCGATTTTTGTGCACTAATTATAAAAATCTTATGGAACTGTGATTATCCAACTTTTATGAATTCGTTGAAAGAATTATTAGGAACAGGTTTTTACTCCATTTTTCTGAGTATCATGAAAATTGTGGATTCTTTTTTCTGTCTCAAAGGTAAAGAAATTATTGTTCTAAGAGCTTCTGAAGTTGGACGCGATGGATTCTAAACATCGACTGTGGGATATTATGAAATAAATCTTTGTAATATCTCTAGAAGTCTACGTTGATTTGGTGCTTGTGTATAATTTCCTTTAAAGGTCGTTTATAAAAAGCAAAACAAATGCAAACATACGTTGAAAATCATAAATACTGTTGGCATCAAAGGAGCTTTTTCGTTGTAGAGTGGAGAAATGGGTGAGTTGTACAAGAGATTCTAAATTGTTCGGTAGTATTCCTCTTTCATTTGATAATAATAGTACTTTGTCTGCAACAATGATAAAGATAGCCTTTTTTTAGAAAACAAATAATATTAATAACTACTATAACTTGAGGGACATTGAAGTGTGTGGATAAATGAAGTTGGTATTTTTTGCTTTTCAAATAAAGAGATACACAATGTTACCATACCAGACCAGAGAGATATAAGTGCTATAGGCAAATTATTCGATATATCTTTCTCTCCTTCGCTAGTATTGAGTAGTAGATCGATCAGATCGATTGTACGGAACACAGTATTGTTAGAAAATACATATGGAAGAGAGAACATCTGTACAAGACGAAATACGTGATGATAATTTGCACACACTCGTATACACCCCAAAGGTCCATTGAGCCAAAAAGGTGTACGAAAAGCTTGAATGAAATCAGACAATGTTTGATTGCTTGGTGGTTCTATGAACTGCAGTTGAATACCAAAATGGAGTGATCGCAAATGAGATAATCCACTACAAAGAGTAGCAAGACGATAACCATCGAAACATATATCATGTTCGCCATTACAATAATGAGTTAAAAACAAAGAAAATTCTTCTAACGAATTAGTGAGTTTATCGACTAATTGGTTAAGACAATTGCAATTTGGTCCCGCAATCTTAAATAAAGCACACGTAGTTTTTTCGGAAAATTTACTTTTGTTGCTAGATCTTCATCATTTGTTTTCATTGAATAAATAATGTCGATAATATATACATCTTGAAATAAAAAAAACACACATTTAGTTCTTTATACTGATCACAAAGTAGATGAAGATGTATAAAATTTTGTTTCTTACCTAAATATTCAAGTTGTGGAAGATAATGAAGAAGTACATGAAGTGTAGTTAAGTTGAGAACGCTAATTGTGAGGGAGATGAGAGAACGATGAGGAATGTAGGCATTCATAATTGTATGTTCATATTTAAGTTCAAAATCTTCTTCGCAACGTGGAATTTGTAATTTATAGTTAATCAGATCCATTGAAAATCGAAATAATCAATCAAGAGAAGTCTTGAATGGAAAGTTTGATTAGAAGAAGCATTGAAAGTAAATGTACGCAACGATGATCCACCAGCGACAGCAAATAATAATGCGCCTCGAGTATCTTCACTAATTGATATAGATTGGAAAACAACGAGAGAAACGAGTTGAGGAAATATCGGTTCTGTAGACTTGGTATATGTTATTAAGATACGGAAGATATCTTTCGATGAATTATTGCATGATATTCCTGATCTAGCAAAATGAGTTGCAACAGTTGATTGTCGTATTTCGTCTGCAAACATATCCGTTTGAGAGCATCGATAACGATTACCTATTTTAAGAACAGTTAAACCAAGACGCCATTCCATCATAGTAGGTACTTGACGACAAAAGAATCGACACGCTGATATTTTTTTAATTTTTATTATGCTCATAAATGTAACAGTCGGAAGTGCTTACATGAGAAAAAGAGACATAGATTTATAAGCGAAAAACTACATCATTTTAAGCAACGCGTTACAATTTGTGCCAATAATATATTATGCTGCGTACCAATTTTCGCTTGAAGGGATCTAACACGTTGATAATGAAAAATGGCGTGAATCCAATTGTTTGCAAAGTCCATGCAATTCGATCAGTAACGAATTGAAACGAGTATTAAGATTCGAGAAACTGTAAATGACATCTGCAGATGTTAATTGATCCCAAACACAAAGAATCACTTCATTCGACATGTGTTCAAGTTGGAGCATTGTACAGAAAAATAGAGATTCAAGCTTTTATATCATTGAATAATACTTTTGTCTATATATCTATATAAGTTTAACACACGTGAGTAAGTGACTTTCTATATGAACGGGAGCAATGTTTTTTTTGTCCAATCAGTATAAATAAATAAAACAAATGTTAATCAACTGTGACAGCTCATACAAAAGGAGTGCAGCGTCATCTGAAATTGGTGGCCATAAAAAAATATATACACAACTTATTTTTAATGTTGAGGGTGTGTGGGTTGTTGATTGGAGAAGCAACCACCCTCAATATTACAATCAAAAACAGTTAGTTAGTTTCAAAATGATAGTGAATGTTTGGCGATGCTATGGTTCTCATTATATGATTATATCGAGCTATGAAACAGGACTACGTTTAGACCGGAAGCATAAAAATAATTTTTTTTGTGAGTTGGGATAATCGTGAGTCCACGATTGGTGACGACATTTTTTGGAAGTCAATGATAAAGTTATATCATTAAAGCAATTAATATCAAAGAAACGTTAAACGTGTTGAATTAGACGTTCTTTTTCTTTCTTGTTGATGTAAAAGAAATACGCCGAATATTTGGTTAACAAAGAAGTGACGTAAGACCATACATAACTTTCTCTCACTCTATCACTTATAACTAATCAATTTCTTACATATTTTACTTTATCATTCGTGTTTAGACTCGATAAGAAGAAACTTCTGGCAAAAAACGTTTTTCTTCTTCTAAGGATTCTGATGTTTTATTAATGTAACTATGTAAGATCTTCAATTCACGCTAGGACTATGGCAATTGTGTTGTTCATTATTTCTACTTTTTAAATATATTTGTTATTGTTGTTGTTCTCTTCTTATTATCTCTTACAAACTTGAGGGTGTGGGTGTTAATTATTAATTTTCAACCACACCCACATCCCCATATAATAAGGGTCAACAACAAACACGTCATGTCGTTTGTATGCTCAATAATTATTCTCATTCCTTACCATCGAGTCAACAATAAAACGCAAGTGATGACGATGAACCAGATGAGCAAACACAAAACATAGAATCAATGCCAAATAATCTCAATCTCACCTAAGAGTCGTATGATGACGAAGACGACATAGTCAATGAACTCAATCTAGCTGTTGTGGTTGGCCATGAAGATATTTAATCATTACGAGCATTTTCAACTGAACAAACGCATCCAGAAAATGGCTCACTGAATGTAGAACGTCAAAAGAATCAAGTTGAAAATGAACAACATGATCAATCGAATGCAATGGATATACCTAATAATGACAATGAAACTTTATCACAAACTATTGTTGCTCCTGGTGAACAACAATCAATTGAAATGCAAGATGTTTGTCAAACAAATGATCTCGATGAAATTTTAAGGCGAAATGAAAATCGTTGTATTCAATTAACTGATTCAGATGTAAATTTGTTGTTGATAGAAAACAAAATTATTCTTATCTTTTCTTTTTTTCAGGATAAAGAACATGTTAATTTTAGTTTATCAATGAATCGTACAACACCTCCAACGATAAAAACAGATGAACTAAAATCGACAACTCCTAAAATGCCTGTTCGTTTATCATCATCATCATCAATATCAAATTTAATTTCGACAAGTTCATTAACATCGACATGTAAAGAACGTTCATTATCTTGTTCATTGTCTCAAACCGCTAATGAATTATTTCATTCGAAAACACTTCGAGAAAACGACGAGGTAAACATGATGCAAAAATAAAGAGTTTAACTTTTTCTGTGGATTTAATCTTGACTTTTTGTTTGTTTGATCTATACTAAATAAAATATATATAATCTTTTTTCTCATGGATGATAGTAATAGTATTGAAAAGCAAACAAATTTATTCTTTCTTTTTTTGTTTAAAATATTGGTGTACTCAGTGGTGGTCGAGAAAGTATTCTTCAATTCAAAGGTGAACTAGCTGGTCGTGTTATAAGACAAGTACGAGCTTTCGAACAACGTTCATCTAAAAATATACAGAACTGTTCAATTGTACCAACGAGTACATCAACATTATCACTACAACAGAAATTTGATGATAGTCAAACTGAATTAACCAGTAAACCTTCATCACGAATAAAATTATTTCATCGTCGAATGGTACCGGGGAAGTAACACGTTCAGTGAAACGTTCACAAAATGCACCTATACGATGATGGAGAGAACGTGCTCGAGAATTTGAAAGAAGCCATCAAATAACATCACCATATCGATTATTGAATAGAAAAAGAAAATGAAGACTAAAATGAATTGTTCGTACGCATGATTATCGTTTTTTTTCTGTACATGTTTTTCTCATGCGTTCCAAAAACAGAATGAAACTTCTGTGTTTGTATATAATTTTGTCTTGTTTCAATCTTCGAAAAAAATATAACATGTGAATATATTCAGTGAATTGAAATATTGACTCCGTTCAATCGTCGTCGATTTCAATGCTATTTAAACGTACGTAGGATATCTTAACTAATGCCATGAAACAAATTCGAAGAGAAGTATCGAAAATAGATCATGTACTTTCCATATCGCAATCATCAATAAAGTAATTCTACTATTACAACTCGGGTATGCTGCTGTCTACTTGATAAGTAGCAGTCAAAGTATATTTTTGTGGCTTTAGGTTTCGATTATAGTGGCATCAGAACTTTCAGCTACCAGTGTTACAACAGAGTATGAAGTTCAATAGATAGCAACCGTGCATATGAAATTGACATTTGGTTTGAAGAAAACCAACCTTCAATGCAATACGATTCAGTAGTATCTTCCTGATCTTTCACCAAACAGAAAAGAGAGTCAACGAGCTCCAGAATCTATTTGATTCTACCAAACATTGCTCACAGCACCGATATCGTCG